CTTATAATATTTATATCGTAAAGAGGGTGCGAAATTGTGATTAAATTGCTACTAAAGACATATACAACTATAAATATATAGACGAATTAGGGGCATATTGTGGTAACAAAATCCTCTATTGCATAATTGTAGGTTATTTATCAAGCCGGAAAAATATTATATGAGGAATGCACTATAAATCCGAATGAGATCAATAGAACCAAATATTTTCCCATTTCAAACATTCGTTGATATATATATAGTTATTTAAAATTTGAATCAGCTTTGCACAACAATATTTCGTGTATTTATTAGTCAGACGCAAGTGAAGTTACAAACGCTACAACTTGCTATTATCTGCTGTTTGACAAGAGCCATTTGACAGTAATCCGCAAGGCGCATAACTCTAATCATAATAATAATAACATATTAAGTCGTTCGGATTTTGGCGCAAAATTTAAAATTGATTTGATATACAGGTACTCTGCAATGTATAAAGTATGGTCCTAAGTTTTAGTTTTACCCACCCAAAAAGACATTTTGAAAGAAGACATTTTGAGACTTTATTACGCCCACGAAATGACGAATAGTGTCAAAACACGCGCGCCTCCCGCGTGGTACATAAAGGTCAATACGTAGACGGAGCCATGCATTAATCTAGCTGAGTGAAAAGAAAGTTCCGCTATTTGAAATGAAAGTTCTGCTATTTGAAAAGGATACACCGCCATTTGAAAAGGTTGTTCTGCTATTTGAAAAGAAAGTTCCGCTATTTGAAAAGGTGGTTCTGCTATTTGAAAAGAATGCTGCGCTATTTGAATAGGGAGTTCTGCTATTTGAAAAGAATTCTCCGCTATTTGAAAAGGGAGTTCTGCTATTTGAAATGAAAGTTCCGCTATTTGAAAAGGGAGTTCTGCTATTTGAAAAGAATGCTCCGCTATTTGAAAAGGGAGTTCTGCTATTTGAAAAGAATGCTCCTCTTTTTGAAAAGGGAGTTCTGCTATTTGAAAAGAATGCTCCGTTATTTGAAAAGGGAGTTCTGCTATTTGAAGGGAATACTTCGCTATTTGAAAATGGAGTTCTGCTATTTGAAAAGAGAGTTCTGCTACTGGAGGAGAAAGTTCCGCTCTTGGAAAAGAGAGTTCTGCTACTTGAGGAGAACGTTCCGCTATTTGAAACTGGAGTTCTGCTATTTGAAAAGAATGCTCTGCGATTTGAACAGGGAGTTCTGCTATTTCAAAAGAATGCTCCGCTATTTGAAAAGGGAGTTCTGCTATTTGAAAAGAAGTTCGCTAATTGAAAAGGGAGTTCCGCTATTTGGAAAGAATGCTTCGTTATTTAAAAAAGGGAGTTCGGCTATTTGAAAAGAAATTCCGCTATTGGAAAAGGGTGTTCTACTATTTGAAAAGAAGTTCGCTAATTGAAAAGGGAGTTCCGCTATTTGGAAAGAATGCTTCGTTATTTAAAAAAGGGAGTTCGGCTATTTGAAAAGAAATTCCGCTATTGGAAAAGGGTGTTCTACTATTTGAAAAGAAGTTCGCTAATTGAAAAGGGAGTTCCGCTATTTGGAAAGAATGCTTCGTTATTTAAAAAAGGGAGTTCGGCTATTTGAAAAGAAATTCCGCTATTGGAAAAGGGTGTTCTACTATTTGAAAAGAAGTTCGCTAATTGAAAAGGGAGTTCCGCTATTTGGAAAGAATGCTTCGTTATTTAAAAAAGGGAGTTCGGCTATTTGAAAAGAAATTCCGCTATTGGAAAAGGGTGTTCTACTATTTGAAAAGAAGTTCGCTAATTGAAAAGGGAGTTCCGCTATTTGGAAAGAATGCTTCGTTATTTAAAAAAGGGAGTTCGGCTATTTGAAAAGAAATTCCGCTATTGGAAAAGGGTGTTCTACTATTTGAAAAGAAGTTCGCTAATTGAAAAGGGAGTTCCGCTATTTGGAAAGAATGCTTCGTTATTTAAAAAAGGGAGTTCGGCTATTTGAAAAGAAATTCCGCTATTGGAAAAGGGTGTTCTGCTTTTTAAAAAGAATGCTCCGCTATTTGAAAAGGGAGTTCTGCTATTTGAAAAGAAGTTCGCTATTTGAAAATGGAGTTCTGCTATTTGAAAAGAACGCTCCGCTTTTTGAAAAGAGAGTTCTGCTATTTGAAGAGAAATTCCGCTATTTGAAAAGGGAGTTCTGCCGTTTGAAAAGAAAGTTCCGCTATTTGAAATGAAAGTTCTGCTATTTGAAGAGGATACTCCGCTCTTTGAAAAGGCAGTTCTGCTATTTGAAAAGAAAGTTCCGCTATTTGAAAAAGGGGTCTGCTATTTGAAAAGAATGCTCCGCTATTTGAAAAGGTGGTTCTGCTATTTGAAAAGAATTCTCCGCTTTTTGAAAAGGGAGTTCTGCTATTTGAAAACAAATTTCGCTATTTGAAAAGGGAGTTCTGCTATTTGAAATCAAAGTTCCGCTATTTGAAATGGGAGTTCTGCTATTTGAAAAGAATGCTCCGCTATTTGAAACGGGAGTTCCGCTATTTGAAAATAATTCTCCGCTATTTGAAAAGGGAGTTTTGCTATTTGAAAACAAATTCCGCTATTTGAAAAGGGAGTTCTGCTATTTGAAATCAAAGTTCCGCTATTTGAAAAGGGAGTTCTGCCGTTTCAAAAGAAAGTTCCGCTATTTGAAATGAAAGTTCTGCTGTTTGAAAAGGATACTCCGCTATTTGAAAAGGTTGTTCTGCTATTTGAAACGAAAGTTCCGCTATTTGAAAAGGTGGTTCTGCTATTTGAAAAGAATGCTGCGCTATTTGAATAGGGAGTTCTGCTATTTGAAAAGAATTCTCCGCTATTTGAAAAGGGAGTTCTGCTATTTGAAAAGAAAGTTCGCTATTTGAAAAGGGAGTTCCGCTATTTGAAAGGAATGCTCCGCTTTTTGAAAAGGGAGTTCTGCTATTTGAAAAGAATGCTCCGCTATTTGAAAAGGGAGTTCTGCTATTTGAAAAGAAGGTCGCTATTTGAAAAGGGAGTTCTGCTATTTGGAAAGAATGCTCCGCTATTTGAAAAGGGAGTTCTGCTATTTGGAGAGAAATCCGCTATTTGAAAAGGGAGTTCTGCCGTTTGAAAAGAAAGTTCCGCTATTTGAAATGAAAGTTCTGCTATTTGAAGAGGATACTCCGCTCTTTGAAAAGGCAGTTCTGCAATTTGAAAAGAAAGTTCCGCTATTTGAAAAGGGGTTCTGCTATTTGAAAAGAATGCTCCGCTATTTGAAAAGGTGGTTCTGCTATTTGAAAAGAATGCTCCGCTATTTGGATAGGGAGTTCTGCTATTTGAAAAGAATTCTCCGCTATTTGAAAAGGGAGTTCTGCTATTTGAAAACAAATTCCGCTATTTGAAAAGGGAGTTCTGCTATTTGAAATGAAAGTTCCGCTATTTGAAAAGGGAGTTCTGCTACCTGAAAAGAATGCTCCGCTATTTGAAAAGGGAGTTCTGCTATTTGAAAACAATGCTCCCGTTTTTGAAAAGGAAGTTCTGCTATTTGAAAAGAATGCTCCGTTTTTTGAAAAGGGAGTTCTGCTATTTGAAGAGAATGCTTCGCTATTTGAAAATGGAGTTCTGCTATTTGAAAAGATAGTTCTGCTACTTGAAGAGGACGTTCCGCTATTTGAATAGGGATTTCTGCTATTTGAAAAGAATGCTCTGCTATTTGAACATGGAGTTCTGCTATTCAAAAGAATGCTCCGCTATTTGAAAAGGGAGTCCTGCTATTTGAAAAGAAAGTTCAGCAATTTGAAATGGGAGTTCTGCTTTTTCAAAAGAATGCTCCGCTATTTGAAAAGGGAGTTCTGCTATTTGAAAAGAAGATCGCTATTTGAAAAGGAAGTTCTGCTATTTGAAAGGAGTGCTGCGCTATTTGAAAAGGAAGTTCTGCTATTTGAAAAGAAATTGCGCTATTTGAAAGGGAGTTCTGCCGTTTGACAAGAAAGTTCGGCCATTTGAAATGCGAGTTCTGCTATTTGAAAAGAATGCTCCGCTATTTGGAAAGGGAGTTCTGCCATTTGAAAAGAAAGTTCCGCTATTTGAAAAGGGAGTTCTGCTATTTAAAAAGAATGCTCCGCTATTTTTAAAGGGAGTTCTGCTATTTGAAAAGAAATTCCGCTATTTGAAAAGGAAGTTCTGCCCTTTGAAAAGAAAGTTCCGATATTTGAAATAGGAGTTCTGCTATTAGAAAAGAATGCTCCGCTATTTGAAAAGAGAGTTCTGCTACTTGAGGAGAAAGTTGCGCTATTTGAAAAGAGAGTTCTGCTACTTGAGGGGAAAGTGCCGCTATCTGAAAAGGGAGCTCTGCTATTTGAAAAGAATGCTCCGTTATTTGAAAAGCGACTTCTGCTAATTGAAAAGAATGCTCCGCTATTTGAAAAGGGAGTTCTGCTATTTCAAAAGAATCCTCCGCTATTTGATAAGGGAGTTCTGCTATTTGAAAACAAGTTCGCTATTTGAAAAGGGAATTCCGCTATTTGGAAAGAATGCTCCGTTATTTGAAAAGGGAGTTCGGCTATTTGAAAAGAAATTCCGCTATTGGAAAAGGGAGTTCTGCTCTTTGAAGAGAAAGTTCCGCTATTTGAAATGGGAGTTCTGCTATTTGAAATGAATGCTCCGCTATTTGAAATGGGAGTTCTGCTATTGGAAAAGAATGCTCCGCTATTTGAAAATTGAGTACTGCTATTTGAAAAGAGAGTTCTGCTACTTGAGGAGAAAGTTCCGCTACACGAAAAGAAAATTCTGCTACTTGAGGAGAAAGTTCCGCTATTTGAAAAGGGAATTCTCCTATTTGAAAAGAATGCTCCGCTATTTTAAAGGGGAGTTCTGCTATTTGAAAAGGAGTTTTGCTATTTGACAAGAAAGTTTCGCTATTTGAAAAGGGAGTTCTGCTATTTCAAAAGAATGCTCCGCTATTTGAAAAGGGAGTACTGCTATTTGATAAGAAATTCTGCTATGTGAAAAGGAGTTCTGCCTTTGAAAAGGAAGTTCCGCTATTTGAAATGAAAATTCTGCTATTTGAAAAGGATACTCCGCTATTTGGAAAGGGAGTTCTGCTATTTGAAAAGAAAGTTCCGCTATTTGAAAAGAGGGTTCTGCTATTTGAAAAGAATGCTCCGCTATTTGAAAAGGGAGTTCTGCTATTTGAAAAGAAAGTTACGCTATTTGAAAAGGTGGTTCTGCTATTTGAAAAGAATGCTCCGCTATTTGAAACGGGAGTTTCGCTATTTGAAAAGAATTCTCCGCTACTTGAAAAGGGAGTTCTGCTATTTGAAAACCAATTCCGCTATTTGAAAAGGGAGTTCTGCTATTTGAAAACAAATTCCGCTATTTGAAAAGGGAGTTCTGCTATTTGAAATCAAAGTTCCGCTATTTGAAAAGGGAGTTCTGCTATTTGAAAAGAATGCCCCGCTATTTGAAAAGGGAGTTCCGCTATTTGAAAAGAATGCCCCGCTATTTGAAAAGGGAGTTCCGCTATTTGAAAAGAATGCTCCGCTTTTAGAAAAGGGAGTTCTGCTTTTTGAAACGAATGCTCCGCTATTTGAAAAGGGAGTTCTGCTATTTGAAAAGAAGGTCGCTATTTGAAAAGGGAGTTCTGCTATTTGAAAAGAATGCTCCGCTATTTGAAAAGGGAGTTCTGCTATTGGAAATGAATGCTCCGCTATTTGAAAATTGAGTTCTGCTATTTGAAAAGAGAGTTCTGCTACTTGAGGAGAAAGTTCCGCTACACGAAAAGAGAATTCTTCTACTTGAGGAGAAAGTTCCGCTATTTGAAAAGGGAGTTCTCGTATTTGAAAAGAATGCTCCGCTATTTTAAAAGGGAGTTCTGCTATTTGAAAACAATGCTCCGCTATTTGAAAAGGAGTTTTGCTATTTGGCAAGAAAGTTTCGCTATTTGAAAAGGGAGTTCTGCTATTTCAAAAGAATGCTCCGCTATTTGAAAAGGGAGTTCTGCTATTTGAAATGAAATTCTGCTATGTGAAAAGGGAGTTCTGCCGTTTGAAAAGGAAGTTCCGCTATTTGAAATGAAAGTTCTGCTATTTGAAAAGGATACTCCGCTATTTCAAAAAAGGAAGTTCTGCTATTTGAAAAGAAAGTTCCGCTATTTGAAAAGGGGGTTCTGCTATTTGAAAAGAATGCTCCGCTATTTGAAAAGGGAGTTCTGCTATTTGAAAAGAAAGTTCCGCTATTTGAAAAGGTGGTTCTGCTGTTTGAAAAGAATGCTCCGCTATTTGAAACGGGAGTTCTGCTATTTGAAAAGAATTCTCCGCTATTTGCAAAGGGAGTTCTGCTATTTGAAAACAAATTCCGCTATTTGAAAAGGGAGTTCTGCTATTTGAAATCAAAGTTCCGCTATTTGAAAAGGGAGTTCTGCTATTTGAAAAGAATGCTCCGCTATTTCACAAGGGAGTTCCACTATTTGAAAAGAATGCTCCGCTTTTTGAAAAGGGAGTTCTGCTATTTGAAAAGAATGCTCCGCTATTTGAAAAGGGAGTTCCGCTATTTGAAAAGAAGGTCGCTATTTGAAAAGGGAGTTCTGCTATTTGGAAAGAATTCTCCGCTATTTG